TCCCCTTTTTTTTTTTGGGTCCCAACCCGGGAAATCCCCTCCCCCAAAAGGGGTTTTCCCCCTTTTTATTAGTCACTCTGATGGTGTTGACTATACAGTTAAGTTTCTCTGACTATCATCCAAGTCATTTCTTAAACTTCGCCACGTTCCCAGTCGAGTTTACATTCAACTCTTGCACATTACGTTATCTACCATGTGATTGTCTACGGGCATTACAGGTCATTGAGAAAGTCTCTCTCCATTCTTGCATTCAACGTTGGTTTATGCCACATTTCTAGTACACAACGCAAATACCTGGTGGGGGTTTTTAGGGGTCATGCCCTCCCCCAGCACAGTCCGTGACTAGACCTGAAGGTGTCATTGTTTGTTGTGTCCTTGACACTGAGGTAGTAACTAGCAGACTTAGCTGTTCATGACCTCCAGTATTTCCACAGGCATTACTCAGGATTTTTTTCAGCAATCTCTTGACAACTCCAAAACTATTAGTAACTTAGGTCATATTTGATCCACAGTAAATTAATTTTTTTTTGTCTAAACCAGTTATGTTTATGTCTGTCTTCCCCACCCACTATGTTTGGAAGTCTGCACTCTTCTATGGCCATGTGCCTCACTAAAATGCCCAGCACGGATATGCAAGTACTTTTGGGTGTGCTGTTGGTCCAACATTTATTTGATTGTACCCACACTGATAGGCTGGACAATTTTGCTTCTGTCAATACTACTCTGACCACCTTGCTGAAATTTCCAAATGACAACCCTGACTTTTTAACTAACTTACTGCACTAACTCTTGATTTTACTTATCTTGCACCTCTACCCCCACTAACCCCTGCCCTTGATTTCCTCACCACTTTACACAATTCTTTCCCACACCTTTCCTCCTGCAGTGCTCTATGACCCTTTTCAGGTTTAGCACTTGGTTATGTCAACAAACCTTACCATCTGGAACAGGAAGCACACTAACCTGGAAGTTGCCTTATTCTACCCACTGATAAGGCCATCACACTACAATACTAAACAAGGCTATTATCACATTGGACAAAGTATTACTCCCTTCCCATGACGAGTTCACATCTCGGTGCAGCATAAAGCACCTCAAAGTCAGCATTCAGCCAAAATGCATCTTAAGAATATTAGGAACTTGAAAAATCCGAGAAGTTTGTGCATACATTTAAGCAATTTTGATTTTTACATGCTGTTGGGTAAACATGGCAACATTTTGAAGGTATTCCAGGAAACTAGTTAACTGGACTAGAGGCCTGGAGGTGAAGTGCCTGCACTCTGTATCGATTAGGATGCTGCAGTTCAAATGGTAATCTGAACTGTTGCATCAGCACATTTCTTGCAAAGCAGGGATTGAATAAAATGAGGGTGAAAGGATTTCCTTATTGGGCTTCTTTACCCTAGTAAGAGATGGCTGTGAAAAAAAAATATGCAGAGAAAACCAAGATAATATATTGTATACCAGAAATCTAAATTATGTAACTAAAAACAGGAGGATCTGAAAATCCTGGACATTAACTACTCCAAAGCCTATTATATAACCATGGTCAAAATAAAAGGGAAGTGGAAGAGGAAATCAACAAGGAAAAAACTATAGATTATGAGCTTTTTAACATCAAGAATCAAAGAACCACCTATAAAAGGCCAATTTATTAAATAATATAATTAAATCCTACCCCCAAGAGGTTCATACTTTTGGCATTTCAAATGAAGAAATTGATTTGTGCTAGTCTGAAATTAGTGTTAGCCTATGTTCATTTAACCCCTAAATTTAAACACACTTTGTAAATATTAAATTTATTTTCAGAGGCGATATGGTTTACATATTAATTTATAGCACTTCATCTTAAATATAACCCCAGTTTTCCTTTTGCTTATAAAAACCCGCATTAACGACATGAGAAGTTGAACTTTGTCCTATGCCCGCACACTTTTTAAAGCACATTCATGTCATTTGTAACTGGAGTAAACCAATACCCTACCACAATGATCCATTTTGGGATTTTCCTTGTCTGTTATAAAGCCCAGCAGCAGCAAAAAAATATAAATAAAAAAAAAAAAAAAAAAAAAAGACAGCAGATGGGCAAGAGCATCAGTTAGGGATGGGTAAAGGTAACATCAGCATTCAGTATAAGTACCATATAACAAGTCAAAGGTCAGGGGCACAGGCGAGAGTTCAACTATCTCTGCATAACTGCGGAGTAGCAAGCGGCTTGATGGGGGCACACAGCGACTCGCCGTGGGTTGCAAACGTCACATTTTGGGATATTAAATTCAACGATATGTCAACATCCCGGGTGCAGGAGAGTTCTCGGGAGTTGACAGCAGCCAGCAAGCATATCCTCCAGCCTTAGGCACATGCTCGGGCTGTACACGACTTAAATATTTATATAAAAATACAAAACAAATCACAGGATTTTTAGCCATAATTTACAAAACTTATGAGGAGCCAAGCTGTAAACAAGTAACTGAGCTTTCAAGTATCTAAATGCATGTATCCTCTATACAGTTACTCAATATCCTGGAAGTGAAGGGAATGCAGTTTTCATTTCAACTATGCTATAACACAATAACAATATGCAACTGATGCTCAATCTAGCAAGAATTACAAAACCATCTGCACTTTTAACATTTTTTTAACTGTTCATGTGCACTTTTTACACTATATATTAAAAACCACAGTAGGCAGTATACAAGTCCGCTCATGCATAAGCTTGCCGAGTCAACCTGTGGTGAAACTCTCGTTATGAGACCAAGACAACAGGAAGACTACCAGATGCAGCTTAATGCACCGCAACGCTAATGGCTTGAAAGTCTTTTCATATCTGCCATTTGTGCCAGGCTCAAGACACAAGTCACTGTAGTAAAAATTCTGGCTCCTATTTCAACTTCAGTTTTCTACAATATTTGAGTCCATCAGTAACGAAAAAAAAAAAAAACTCATCTCTGTATCAACACTTAAAGGAAGAATTGAAGAGGTAGGAGGGTCAAGCCCTTAGGCATGAGTTTCAGTTTCTTCTACATCTGCCTCCTTTAACCATCGCATGAAGTTTTTGACCGAGTTAACACACACACCCTTTCCCTCCTGTTCTTCAGGATCCTGAAATTTGGCCCACAGCTCGAAGGCTTCTTCAGACACCACTTCTGAATCGTAAAAAGCATTGAAGCACTTTTCTAGCAGACCTGTAAAGAGAATTTTGTCATAAAAGTACTTAAGTAGAGCAGTATATCAAAAAATAAAATTTATAAACTTATCCAGAAACTTTTTTGTTCTTGTTTATTTCCTATCTCAATGGGGAAGTGGAACACAATTCTTCCTCTGTAAGCCATTTGTCGTAACAGGTAACTAACATGCTGGGAGCAAGGGGCTGGTAAACCCCCTTCTCCTGTATACATTACTTAAGTTAAAAGAGAAGTTTGTTTTTCTTTTTGGGCCACCCTACTTTGGTAGGATATGGCCAGTTTGTTGAAAAAGTTAGTGCAGTCTAAGCCATTTAAAATCTAATAGGACTACCTATAATTTTTAAATCTCTATACCACATACTTTACCTTTAGGATGCTGATGTTTAACACTAAGAGCTTGGAGGGCATAGATGCACTGCATCTCCAATTTTTCATTTGCTATCAACATACTTGAGCACCACAGCTAGACGGTTCTTCATTTTTTCCTCAAAATCTTCAGAAACACAAATTGAGGAACCATCATTGGAAGCTGTAAATAATGATGGCAGCTTAGTATGCAATTTAAAAGAAACTTGGTTAACTCTTTATCAACAAAGTACATTTCCTCCCCCACCTCCCCTACTTTTTCATCTTCACATTATCCTTCTCTTAACCCATTTACTTATGTGGTGCATCTAAAATACCACTACCTATTCAATTGCTAATTTTTTTTTTAAAGCTTACACAGTGTATATTTCTTTTTTAACAAGTTTGAGAGTTACTAATTTTTCTAACATCTTTTTTGTACATATAAACCAGGTTCTTTATTCACTATACAATTAAACAGAAATGAATAAACTAAACAAGCTCAATCTTTAATGTTTTTAAGCTAGTTTATTGTAGAGATAATAGTAATATAGAAAAAAGATTCCCAATGGACATCCTTAAAAAAAAAAAAAAAAAAAAAAAAAACTGTACTGTTAAAACCAGAAATAGCACAAAGCAGTGAGGAGTTTCGAAGCCACCCTGCCAGTGACTGGCTTTCTACTCAACTTTTGTGTGTAGTGTTCACTACTCTGCGGAAATTGGGGAGAGGAGGGGGTGTTTGACCTCTCAAGATGTTTGGAATGCAATAATTCCCCCCCTTTAAATTTTTTTTTAACTCATTCAGCATCTCACACCAAGGCAGGTAGGAGAAGACTTTCATCATCATTTAACACTTTCACCATCACACACATAATCACTGTCGCTGCAGAGGTGCTCAGATACGACAGCTCAGATGTCCTTCAAACTGCCAATATCCCAAACCCCTCCTGAAAGTGCAAGCATTGTACTTCCCATTTCCAGGACTGAAGTCTGGTTAACTGGTTTCCCTGAATCCCTTTACATTTTGTATAGTGTATTAATGTAATTCATGGTGTAGCTCACATATTGTCAGAACACTGTATGCTATAGGTAGCAAACTGACAAGTGAGAATATCAGGCATTTATACCAGGGTGCTGGATTCTTAAATCAAGCAATCAAATGTTAGGGAGTGGCCCACCTTCCTTGTGCACTAAATGCTCAAACCCCACCACTGCTTTAAGATAACCCATCATTAGAGAAAGGGAGAAAAGGGGAAAGGAAAAGAAAGGAGAATGAACAATGGATACTGATAAAGATACAGCCTACTGGAACTGTTTTCTACATTAAACAGCATCACTGGGGAAACTAAAACTAAGCTAATGAATATCTAAAATTTTCTTCAACTTACTCGTAGCTTGACTCTCTCACTAAGGCGGTTACAAGGCACGTATAATTTGCTGCTCTTGGCATCATTACCGATATTTGCCTGTTGAAGAAAATGGTAATTTTTACATTCTATAATATCTAAACAAATGGAAGTTTGTTACTTAAACCTCAACTGGACTAATAATGGCAATGGTTAACTTAACCTTTGTGTACCTGGAATAAAAGCACTGGATTAAGTGTAAAAAACATTGTTTAGAACTCCATGAACTTTTACTACCTGCTTTATGAGCATTCCTGAAACATGTTATGAAGGAAACTATCAAAAATATTTAAGAATGGCAACACATGGCCATTCATTAAAGTTAGGATTGTTTTAGAATTTACAATATCATGACACAACTGAAACTCACATCAATATCTATTTAAAATTTTTGTCCAAGATCAGGATTCATAGGAAAGTGACTACTCTCACATTGTAAAACAACCAACCACAATAGTCCTCCTCAGCCCAGTGGAAGCACAGCTACCCTCTCCATACCAGTGACCAAATTAAAAAAAAATTTTTTTTTTAAGTAAACTTTTTAGGTACTTTTACTTTTCTTTTTCAATGTCTAAATGCAGGTATTTTACATAGCCACCAACTACAATGTCATGAAAGAATAATTTTTCTGAGGAATTAAAATAATTTTAAATTTTTTCCTCAAGTGTCAAGACGTAACTATTTTTTCCCATCACAAGTTGTGATACCATAAGAAGTGTGCCATTTCTCGGAATGTAACCTGCATCAAATGATTTTTATCTGACAAATTAAGAAAAGTTTATCTAAAGAAAGAAATTAAATATTAATAAATGTGGCTCAATAGCAGATTTCTGATATTATTCTTAAATTTCAAGAGAAGGTATTACTTACTTTTTTTTTTTTTTTTTTTTTTTTACAAACTTAATGGCATCAGCTTTCACTGTCATTGCAACACACTTTGCACTTATGGGCAAAAATATATCTTCCATCATGCAATTTTACATAACGCTATTTTTTTTTTTAACTCTAAAAAGACTAATATTAGCTGGCATTATAATGTCTTTCCCCAAGCACATTCCTTAACCCTTTCATCATTGGTTCCGTTGTATCATGACTTCGAAACCAGTGTTTGGTTCATAGCATGATGCCACGAGTTCAGCTCACTTGGATAGGCTGTGAGCAGTACATTTGGGCCTCGATACATGAGAATGGGTCTATGCAGCAAGTGTCCACCATATTAAAAAAAAAAAAAAAACTGCATGCAGTTTGACAGAATGAAAGATATATTATTGAAACAGATGATTTTGATTTGTTTTCAGTACCAAATGTAGCTCGAAACTGAGTGGAAACGTTAGATTTTTGCCAATATTCCAGAGTATACAAATGACGTCACTTGCCCAGTACACATCCAACTGGCCAGTCTAACATGCATTTACGAATGCAACTGACTATTTACACAATTATTACTATAATGCAGTAGTTGGCATAACAGGAAACTTTTTTTTTTTTTTGTGAATAAAATTTCAGAATGAAAAGGAAGAGTAATATAAGGGCCTGGAGACTTGACTAAGGAACAGAGGAAATGTTTTTTTTTTAGTGCCAGGAATGTCTACATGTTTATTCTGGACCCTTTTTACAAAATTACCAATTGCTGAATTTTGTATGAAATTGGCCAAATTACCAATTTCTGATTACTTCATCAAGTAGTTTAAATAGGTAAATGGGCAGTTTCTTGTACTCATAGAGTAGAAGGAATACTAGCAAAATAGCTAGTTCGTGGAATGGAACAATGGAATTGGCCAAAGTAGAGCGCATTGGGCAAAATCGGCGATGCATAAATTATTGCCGAGACTACTAACTTTGCGAGATTGTAATTCTTTAAGTTTTCCACCAAATTTCGTAGTTTTGGTTTCATTACCTCCTGTATAGCCCTTGTGGTTTAGCACTTCTTTTTATTATAATAATAATGGTTTCATTACCTTCAGAAAAAGATTAATCATTTCACATTTTTTTTTTTAAATTGACACCGAGCAATTTGAAAGCAGGGGTCTCGACAGCGAAAGGGTTACGGCAGACACCCGTGTTCTGGTAATAGCTTCTCCCTATGCCTTTGTCCAGGCAGAAGCCTCACATAACCTCCCTGAAAGCTGCCTAACTTTCCTAAAACTCTAGCCATCTTTCTAAGGGCTGACAGACGAATCTTTCACCTTATTCAGTCCTAACCTTATCTAAACTACTACAGTAACCAACTATATTCTTCTGCTTACTTCATTGCTCATTATTCTTCATCTCATTTCTCAATCATTATGTTTGTTGTCTTGGGGCTTTTCAGTCTTCCCCAGTCAGGAGTCTATAAACTGAAAACATACTTCCTAGGATTCCAAGATCAATACAATGCTCATATCAGTAAGTACAAAAATCTTTGTACTGGGTCCCTGGACATACTGAAGTAAGAGGCAATGAACAAGCAGACAACTGCTTGACCAGTTTTCAAAACATCCTGATTACCCATGGGGTATTCCTTACTCAGGCAATTTTTTTCAGTGCTCTTCCCACCTCCACAAACTGTTGGCAACATTGGTCAATGTTGAACTACAAATAATTTTTCATGAAACCACACCAATCTTCCAGCATTTGTTGAGTTTAGGAGACCACACTAACACTCACATGTTGGACATGCAACTCACTCATGGATACCACATTGAAAAAAGACTGGCACTACTCTGCAAGTACTGTCATGTTGCACCTACCTGTTCAATATATCTTAACAGATTGTCCTATCAGAGTAAATGCAGGATCCACTTTTCTCTAAACTGCCCCAACACACAATCCCTGACTTTGCTGAAAGTTCCACCTCGACAGAGACTAACTTTGAAAGTTAACCTATTGCACCAACTGTGATTTAAATTTTTAATCTTTTATTAATTCCCAAACTCAATGAACCCCTGAATTTTGCAAAGCCCCACCACTCACTCGCTCAACTTTCATACATTCAAACTTTTTTTTATATCTCCCTGTAGCAATGCATAAGCTTTACAGGTTTATGCACAAATTCACGATAATAAAATCATAGAATGGGTAAGGCTCGACCCCACAGTAGGCTAGTCCTTAAACTCAGGCCAGTGTGCTAACCACTGGACAAACTGGCTTTAATTGGGTTCATCCAACTCTGTCCATGTCTATACACCCTGGGGAGGTTAGCATGAGTCATTTGACTATAAATGCAGGTATTTTCCAGATGCATCCCACATCAGCATGGCTATGACCTTCTGTAGCTCAAGTCCCTTCAAATCTGTCACGAATCACAAAATCACAATAAAACTACTGCAAACAAATCACAGAATGGGTGGGGCAGGAGTCATAAAACTCAAGAGGCCAGTGTGCTAACCACTGGACCAACTACTGGCCTGCAAGTTTTAGGTCTCACCTGCCATGGGTTGAGCCAATCCTATTCCACGATATGTTAGCCATTGGGTTATTACGATTTAACTAGTCAGCAACCAAAATGCTTCTGAGACCAGAGTAGCAATTTCAAACCAATTTTAGGTCACTGATAATGAATATCATGGTTAAAAATTGTTTGTTAGCTCTACTTTTCAATACATGTATGCGTCAGCTGACATGAAGATTTCAAAATTTCGTGACTGTCAACAGTAGTTCAATGTTTTCTTCGTAATGGAAGGCTATTTAGTGGCCTGCTGGTCTAGTGGCTAACGCGACGGGCTGGAGTTTTGAGAGACACACTGACCGCGGGTTCAATCCCGG